AAATAAGTTTGATGACTGCTGTTAGTCCAGAAGGGGCAGTTCATGGATAGTTTGTCTCCTGGAGCTGTTGGGTGAAGCCTTTGTACTGCTGAAGTCAGTTTTAAACTCATTTGTTCTAGTGGGGTGTTCAGAGCAGCATCCTGTGCCTTTTGGGCCTCCCCCCCTCCCAGCCTGGCACGTGTGCCCCAGCAGGGTCAGGGTCCCTTTGCCGTCGGTTCTGCCTGAGGGTGCAGACGCTGGTTTCTGGGAGCTGTTCTCTGCAATTGGCAAAAGATTGAATCAGCTCAGAGGCAGCTGCCCAAGGCTGGCTCGTGTTTGTCAGGAGCTGCATCAGACGAGCCTTCTGCTCCGAACGCATCCCCCAGCGCCTTGGCTGCTCTACCAAACGCTGCGGGGAATCGTTGCTTCCTCCCTGCTCCTGGAAGGGTGAGCAGACAACATTTGTAAATGATAAAAACCTCTTCCCATCTTTACTTACACATCACACTTCCCTCTTCTAGCCAGGCTAAGTGGGGAGTCCTTGGCCAGTCAGGAAGAACCAGTGTCTGTGCAGGCCCAGGCAAAGCAGGAGGCAGCTCCTCACTGTCCCCTGAGCAGGACAGGCAACTCGTGGTGCAGTGGTGACCCACAGAGCCAGCTCTGGCACCAGTGCCTGCATGAGTGCAGGACACTCTGAACCGTTCCCAACAATATTTATTCTCTGTGCAGAGGAATAATTAAAGCTAAATTCAGAGGCAGCTAAATGTCACCTTGCTCTGAGCAGGGCTTTGGTTCCCGCTCCTGCAGGCTGTGCAGCTGGGGAGGCTGTGTGTGTGTGTGTGTGTGTGTACAGGTGCAGGCTGGCAATTTGCAAATATGTCATTTATTGCAAGAAATCTAGACCAGAATATGTGGTGCTTTTTCTTTGCTGACTCTCAGGCTTCAATGCAAGAAGGTAACACTTAAGGGCAGGGCCAGCCTGAGCCCAGGACACAAGGAGGTGAAGCAGTTTATCTGGGAGGGGGTTCCACAACAGGGGCTCTGTGGCAGTGAGGGGGAAGCTGTTTTGGGGTGTCTGAGGAGCCCCGGGCTGGCTGGGCTGGGGGGAGCCCTGCAGCAGTGTGTGTCCTCTGCAGATGTCCTCTTGGGATGAGCGGTGATGCAGCGAGATCTCTCCTGCCTGCTGTGCCCAGGATTGGACAGAGAGCTGTGCAAAGGCAGGGTAAGGTGCTTTGTTCAGGCACTCACTGCAGGTTTTGAAGTGTGAAATCTCAGCAAGATGTCCTTGTCTCTGTTGAAAAAACAAAACAAACATTAAAAAAGTTTTGGTTGGGTAATTTTTTTTAGTTTGTGAACAGCCAGCTGAGGGTGTCAGCAAGTGCCCACTGGTGTCTGGGAGCTGGGTCCCAGCATGTGCCATGGTGGCTGTGCAGGATCTGCTGGCAAGGAGTGGGATGGAGGGAGGGTGGCCTGGGCCCCACTCCCACTCCTGGGACAGCTTCAGGTCCTGGGCATTGGATATTAAATAAACTAAAAAGGGAGCAGCTGGCAAGGTGATGCCCATCAAGGACAGAAAAATTGCAAGTCCAAAAATAGAGGCTGTTAATTTACAGGATGATGTTTGTTGTCCTTCCCAAGGATACAGCATCTAGGCAGGCTGAACCTGTTGCTGCAAGAGTTTTGCACCTCCTTAGGCCAGGTTTCATCTGCAGAATTAACTGTGGGCATAGAGGTACCCCGTGACGCTCCGTGTTTGATTTACACAGCGCAGCAAAGGGCAGATCTAACCACTTAGTGGGGAGCCCTTTGCCATGTCAGGTAATATATTGACATCTCCTCTTCCCACGTGTAATTTGTATGAATGTACCATGTCAATTTATAGCCTGTTTAGTAAATCAGACAAACTGAACTAGAAGGTGGGACGCATTAGAAGTTTTCATTACGCTTTAGGCTGAGAAGGCGGGAGGGACGTGTGTGCTCCAAGGCAGATGTTCCCGCTGTCCTTCCCCACCCTATCCTCTCCCCACTCCCAAATTTCTCTCCAGTGTTGTGGTTGTGGCCAGGCTGCTTGGGTGCAGGACTTGGGGAAGAGCTGTGGGTGTTTTGGGAAGGCCAACATGGAGCATCCTGGGCCACAGGAGGGATGAGGGGAGCCCACCCTGCTGCGTCGTGGAGGCAGGGATGTTCGCACATTGCTCACACCACTGGCATCCCCAGGCTGTTCATGGGCTTTGCAGAGAACACCCGGGGGGCGCTGACTGTTCTGGGGCGCTTTCTGGGGCCCTGGTAGTGGTTGGGAGCCAGGTGCTGGGGCTGTGGGGAGCTGCACAGCATCCCCTGGCCTCAGTCCTCTCTGGGGTGAACACCATGGACCTCTGCTGCTGTTTGGGCTCTGCAGACATTGGTACCAGGCAGGGACAGGGTGATGGTGGGGATGGGGTGACAGTAGGGATGGGGTGATGGTGGGGGGCTGCCACAAGCACCTGCTGGCTCTGGCATTGTCATCAGCATCCCCAGTGGCTGCTTCTTCCTGTGAAGCTGGGGCACAGATAAAGACGTGCTAATCTTCCTTATGATTCATCTATCATCCCAGGAGGGTAATCTGTTTGGAAATTAGGCTGATGGCCCTTGACCCTTTAGCTGATGGCAGAGACTGAATCATTGGAGTCTGTGGCTGCAGTTGAGTGTAACATATTTCCAATGCAGGGAGGCCAATTCTGAGCAGTGGCTGGTGAATGGGTTTGTTTTGCTCTCCCCAGAATTGCAGGAGCAGTTCCAGGAGTTTGGGCCCAAAGAAGCCATCAGCATGTGACAGAGGGACACATTGTTAAGTTATATGAGTGATTTTATAATACTTAGTATATGATGCTATGGCAACCTGCTACAAGTCCCAGATCAAATCACATTATTTATGTGCATCCCTGTAACTTTAATCTTTGCAAAGTCTGAAACATTTTGTGCCTTTGAGGACACTGTGCAGATTAGTGCAATCAGGCAGAGCTCAGGGTTCAAAGGAAGGAGAGCAGAGGATGAGTGGCTTGCTCCAGATCAGGCTGTGCTTTAGTGTCCTAGAAAGTCAAAGAGCAAACAGTAAAAATCTGTCATCCTCGGCAGTTTTTCAGCAGTGGAGTCATGGTGAGTTTGTGGAGAGGAGGAAGGGAAGGAGTTTGACAAACAATCCAGGTGGGCAGGACTTGTGGGCAGGCACTGTCCCACAGTGTTTAAATTCATTTCTTGTATTGAAAAATTGCAATGTTCCAAGAGCTTAAATGAGATGTAATAGTGTAAGGCATCCACTTGCCTGCATGCCTTGGGCTCTGGGAAGGGCAATCAGTAATTAATTTCAAGTACCAGAGGATTTGGACCTGTCGGGTCCCAGAGGTCTGTGAGCTTGGTCCCCACATGCCAGTGGGTGGCCTTGGCTGTGTCACCCTGCCCTGTGCTGTGCTGACCCCTCCTTGTCCCACCTGGGCTAGTCTCACACCTCCAGGACAGATTTATGGGCTTGATCTCCAGCCTGAATTTCCCCCAACATCCAGCCACTGATCCCCTGGCTACAACTGAAGTCCATTAATTCTTGTTCTTTGGTCGATGACTAATGAGAACTATTGATCTGCATCCCCTTCTCGCTTCCTTCCCTCGGTGACAGGCGCTGCAGCTCCGTGCCTGCCGCGTGTTGCCAGCTCAGGCTGACAGCTGGCAGCCCCAGCCAGCGCTGACCGTGCCGCGGGGACACCGAGGCACCCCTGGCTCCAGCTGTTCTCCATGGCTTCGCCAGGAACCCATCCCGCAGTGGCAGGGAGAGATGCCAAATCCCTGCTCTGGGCCGTGGTGCTGTGAAGGACAGGCTGGGATCCTGCAGCACAGGGCTATGACCAGCTGGGAGGTTTTGTCCCCGCAGCGTCCCCACTGTATCCTTGCAGTGTCCCTGCTGCATCCCCATGGCACACAGCCCTGCTGAGAAGGAGCCGCGGGCACCTAAGTTTCCCCATGACCAGCATGTGGTTGTCACCCCCTCGGTGTCAGGGGACTATGGCATGGGCAGGGGGTGCAGGAGGTCAGGCAGACACCCCAGAAGGAGTTAGATGTTTTGGAGAGGGCCCCATGGCCACTGGTGCCTGGCTGCCCTGCACACCGTGCTGTGCCATCCCGGCGCGAGCTGCCATGGGAACCAAACCTTGTTACAGCGAGATAAACAGTTGGACATGTTGGCCCGGATTCTGCAGGACTAACCTGGCAGGGTTGAGAGGAAACTAAATTAAATCTCAGATTTTTTGGCTCCCAGAGTAGCATCTGGCAGCACCGCGGTGAGTGACGGCGTGGTTGTCTGCCTGGGAAGCTGTTGGTGTGATGGGGACACGGTGTGTTGGATCAGACAATCAGTGGAGGGCCAAGGTTGTGCCTTTTCAGGATTTACGGCTCTTTTTTGGGGGGGCTTTTGTGGCAGGTCCATGGCACAGGTGCTGCTCCCTGCTTCCCTGGGGTCTCACGTCCCCACAAAACCCCTCTCTTCCTCTGAATTCTGTGCCTGTGCCAGGTACCCTGTTAGTTGGGCTGGGCCCTGCCACACTCATGCTGGGATCTTGCCTGGGTGTCACTGGTGTCACTAAGCCAGAAGCTTCCTGCACTGTCCTCAGTGCCCAGGCTACCAGCAGGCCAACGGGCTGTGGATCCTGAGCAGGGAGGGTGCCAGACAGAGGGAGACTGCAGGGATGGTTTGTTGTTGGAACCCACAGAAACCCAGCCCTGCTGACCCAGCACCACACCGTGCCCTGGCCCCATGGTTGGCCTACAGTGGGGCAGTGAAGGGTCCCAGCCTTCCCCGGGCACTGATGGGGCTCTTCAGATTACTTTTATCATCTTTTTAGCTGTCTGTTTGTATTTTTCTTAGATTCAAGACGTTATTTTAGGGGCAGCCCGCACGCCCATGGTTTTGCTAAAGAAGATAAGCCCTTATCTCCCGCCTGGTGCTCTTGCTCGGGGCACGGGGGATGCTGAAACGCCTGCCTTTGGTCTTGCAGGAAACAGGAGCTGCTGAACAGCACGGATGTGCCAGTCCCGGAGCGGCCGCTGTCCCCCCCCCTCACTGCCCCGCCGACCATGAAGGTGAGTGTGCGGGGCCGTGGGCGCGACGCGCGGCCGAGCTGCTGCGTTTGGAAGCTGCAGCTGGCGGGGGGGA